GAGTTGGAAATGGGTGATTCACCATCGTTTTAGGACCTAYCTAACCAATTCTGCACAGCTATAAATTCCAGCAGCTTCTCCACCAAATGGATCAAGCCTTGCTTCCTTCTCTTGATCATTCTTAGTGTTTCTTTGTTGCTTCCTAAGTACTTTTGAATTGCTTTCATTAGTTGCTTTTAGTTTTTAAATCCCGAGCACTTTACATTCCTTTATTGAGCTTTGTTTTGTTTCCGTTTGTACTTAGTTATTTTCTACTTATTCATATATATAAAAATCCAGCACTTTGCTTATCTTCCCTTTGCCTTTACTTTATTTTTAGTTAAGAGAGTTGTGTTTTTGGAGGAAAGAGCACGTGACACTCCCCCTTGCTTGACAGAAAAGGGCGAAGCTCTCAATCCCGAGAAAAACTCTCCGTTAGTTAACTTTTGTTTTTCACACATGCATTCCAATTTCAACCATTTTACTTGCTATATTTTCTTCAATATGTCTTTCTAAATTCCCGTCTCTAGCTCGGTTATGGATAGTTAGCCTTTTATKTCTAAAAAGGGTTGCTAAGAAGTAGTGTTTTTGCTTTCCAYTCATTGCTCAACATGTTTTCCCAAAAAGTTAGGATTTAGAGAAGGCCACTGTAAGTCTTAACAAGTCAATACTGAAAAGGTTGCTTATTTGCATTGTTGAGTGGTTAAACCGAGGAGAGGAGCGCCTTAGACATAAGGGTTCCGCTTAAGTAGCCTAGACATAGGACCTTAACCCGAGGTTGCGACTATTTCCATCCTAAAACTAAGATATATCTCATAATAGACATATTAGGGAATATCTTAGGACTTTGAACTTGCTTAGACATAAGTCAAGTGAGAAGCGTAGTCGTTGGTTCCTAAAGTGAAATGCATATCGTCCTTAGCATATCCTTGATTCTTTGTTGGCTAACTTGAAGTAATTCGGGCTAGGTTTTATCATTCTAAGTCCAAATCCCAAATCCAAAACCATTAATTGTGACCACTTCCCATTTTACAAGAATCACTCATTTCAACATTCACTATTCTTTAAAACTTCAGAGTTTGGAAATTATTTAGAAGTCCTTGAGGATCGATACTTGGATACTCCATCCATTTTATATTACTCTGACAGGTATGCGCTTGCATCTATATAATTGTTACCACGCTTAGTGCGTGCGTTCAGCAAAAACATCCCAGTCATGGACTAGGATCAGTGTCGGTACTGGAAGATGGATGACCAAGGATAGCAGCTAGCGCTGGAGGCCATGAAGGTAAAACCGCAAAATCCAATGAAGCCCTCAAGTTATAGATATGTTGCACGACTTCTCGAACTTGATCTCGCAGCTGTTGGTTCTCCTCTCGAAGTCGACGGATCTCCGATGTAGGAGACGTCCCAGTACCTTCCCTTCTTTGTAGCGCATGAGCGATAATTCTCCGAATATTCTTCTCTTCCACAATTGGGGCATCTCTCTTAATTTGATCCTCAGGGAGCTGCACACCTTGTCGCAAGCATAAAGAAGTGACCAAGCATGGGTGATAAAGCTTACCACGTGTCTGGTGGGCACACTCATGGATACTGGTATTGATCAATTCTCCATAATTTACATTTATGCCCTTTAGCATGGCATAAACCAGCAGTGCCCTATCCTGAGTGACATGCTCATCATGCTCCGTTGGCAGAATTCTGTTTTTGACTATATATAACCATCCTGCAGCAGCTAGTGAAACATCCTCGGGTCTTAGTCGTACCTTGCCATGAGTAGTCAAATCCCAAGTGGCAGAGGGCTTCCCAACACATTCTAGAGCCTCACCGAGCTGTTATAGAGTCGGAGTCACTAACATCTTATTGCCCACAGCATCTCTGATATTCTTAATGTTGAAGGTGTAGTTGATCTGAGTGGCATCAAACTGTATTTCCTCCTCTAGCAGCCGAGCTGATTATCGAAGGTCGGATAGCAGTCACAATCGAAGTCGACCTTACGAACGTTATACTCCAACCACCATCCCCATCTCTGAGATACTTACAAACATCGAGGAAAGTGGGATGGAAAAGCTCCTCAAGCGACCTGAGAAGCTCCGAGGAGACCCAGAAAAGCGCAATAAGGATAAATATTGTCGTTTTCATCGCGATCACGGCCATAATACATCAAATTGCTGGGAATTGAAGCGCCAAATTGAAGACCTCATTCAAGATGGCTACTTCAAAAAATTTGTTGGAAAACCGAGGTCCAACTCAAGGAGAAGAAAGAAGAGAGGAAGTGTTCAAGGACACCACCTCGTCGAGATGATCGACSTACGGTCATCAACACTATTTTCGGGGGCCCTAGTGGGGGCCAGTCTGGAAACAAAAGGAAATAGCTAGCTCGGGAGGCCAGGCGCGAGGTATTCATCGTTAGGGAGCAGAAACCGACTTGCTCCCTTACCTTCGACGATACCGATCTGGAGGGGGTCCACTTGCCTCATAATGATGCACTTGTGATCGCCCCCTTTATCGATCATGTCCTGGTCAGAAGAGTATTGGTAGATGGAGGCGCGTATGCCAA